CTTCTCTATTGACTTGTAGTACAGCCGCAGAGACAAGAATCAGCAGAGCACTACCTTTGCCACTACTCCGCCCTAAGGCAACCTTGCAGATATGGCATCAATGATCTCGTATGCTTTATAAATTTAACTAAGTGGTATTTATATATAGGAATGTGTGAGAAATCTCTTTCATAGTTACCAATTGGAGTGCTCCGCCTTGGGTAAGATTATTTAGCATCAACCACATGATCAAATCATAGTCCTTTTGTAACACCTCCTTCCCTCGAACGGACGTTGTTTCATTTTCACAATACTCTTCGTTTTCTATTTCAAATTTATGAAAAAAAAATATATATATTTATTTGTGGTTTAATTGAAAAGAATTTCTTTCTTTTTGTTAAATATATTTTATATTATTTAGATTAGGTTGATGCGCCTTACTTAGCCCTGTTTATCATTTTTAGTTTCAAATAGAGTTTTATTTATCCGTTTTATTGTGATCTAAAGTACGATGCCAACGCCTTTCGTGAAGTTCTGAGAGCCTTAATATATTTTCTTCTAGTCTTTTGAACTGCGAAACTTCGAGATATATAAGATGAGTTCTAGCTAAGACCAAACGTACACAGAAAAGATGTTCTAACGCCTTCCTCCCTGTTATTGTACACTCTCTTCAATTCGAATGAAAAACCAAGTCTTGCAATCTTATAGCAAAACGAAGTTTTTCAACGGTTTTTGATAAAATTGATGGTTTAAACTATTTTTCCTGTGAATCAAATCAAAAGAGGATTGATTTTTTTTCGTCCCAGTTTTCCCAAAAAAAACTTTCGCACACAGTATCCTAGTTGTTGCATACGTTCCCAATACATTTTTTTCAAAAACATCTGTCTCAGATTCACTTCCTGGAAAATAGTGTCGCACCTGCGTCTACATGATTTATTGAGCAAATTCCAGTCTGGGTATGGATCCAATCATAGCTGTTCTACAGCTATGATGAAAATAATAGATGACATGCGTCCTGCTTTCGACAATTACTTACTTACCATCCTAGTGCTTTTAGATTTTTCTAAAGCTTTCGACACTGTAAACATTGATATTCTTCTGTTAAAACTGAAAAGTTATTTTGGTTTCAACACATCAGCAATTAAGCTCATGAGTTCAGTGCAGGGATGTAATTTCAAATCGCAGAGGAATCATCTCTGGAGCTCCCCAGGGCTCTATTTAAGGGCCAATACTTTTCAGTTTATTTATTGATGATATTGTTCACTACTGCAAAAATTATTCAATACATCTATATGTCGATGATACTCAACCTTACCTCTCATGTCCCATTGGCCTTGGTGAAGATTTAATAGCCAGATTGAATGAGGAGCTAACAAGAATTGAGAAATGGTCTAACATTAATGGTCTTTATCTAAATGGTAAGAAAACGAAGGTAATTCGTATAAAAAAAAATATATTCGACATTAAGAAATTTATGGCACGCATGTGTTTGTTTACCGATTAGAACAAAAATTAAACTAGTTCAGTCACTTATTATTCCCCAAATTTCCTATTTTGAAGTCGTATATGGCACTCTAAGCTATGATTCCAGAAGCAAATTAAATTTAGCTTTAAATAAAGCAGCTAAGTTCATTTACTGCAAGAAAAAATTTGAACACATCTCTTTGTACACCGAAAACATTCTCGGCTTCACCCATGAGAATTATCTCAAAGTTCGCAATTTAATATATTTTTTTTCAAAATCATCAAAACCCGTCAACCAGAATATCTCTTCCGCAAAATAAAGTTTGTGCAATCTTCTCCTACTCACAATATGTTTGTCCCCAAATACAAAACTTTGACGACCTCGAGATTGTTTTTTGTTGGTGCTGTCAGAATTTGGAACTTATTACCAATTTCAATAAAATGTATATATTATATAAAAACGATTGGATGCTTCAAAACCTATTTGCATATGTGTATTACCCATCACTATTCTCCTTACCTATGTCAACATACTGTTGAAAAACACCTCCTTTTTAGATATATAATTATTCTGAGCTATGGCTAAGATTCAAATAATCAAATTGCAATTCAATCTGTCTTACTGTACGGATAAAAAAAAAATTGAAAAAAAAAATCTTTCATATCGATCAGCAGTTTAACGGTGTCAGTAAGAGTATTTATCGTATTATGCGTCCTTAATAAACAAAACGTTTTGAATATGCGTATTCTAGCATCCTCTGGCGCAAAACACTTTCGAAATTTGGCTTCAATTGGTTTTGAAACATTTTGGTGTTCTCTGAACTTTGAAATGTTCACGTATGAATCAATGAAATGAGTAACATAGAATTTATTTAATATATTTATTTAATTCAAGGACTTTAAATATAAGAAGCTATGACCGATTTTTCAAGTATTTTTCTATACCACCCTAATACACAACAACTTGCAGACCATTGGTTTTATTTGTTGGTAGCTGCATGTATAGCATCAGCATTTATTGCTCTGCAGATCTGTTGAGTCCTTAAGTATGTAATATGCATTTGGTTGCAAATTCGTTTACATTTAAGAGTAATTGATTACTCGTTTTACATACATACAAACATTACAAATGCTCAAGTATACAATAATTGAGTTTTCGATTAAGTTCTACTGACTTAACAATATGCTTTTAAGGGTATTTAAGTAATCGAATATAATAATTAACTGCAATTTAATTTCATCTGATTTGTAAATATTTATTTAAAAAAAATATTTTTGAAAAGCTTAAGTGTGGTTCATTAATTTGGTCCCATTTTAGAAGCATTTAATATCAAGCATACACGAAAATATTCCAAATATTTGTCTGGTGTATACATACATCTGGCGGCCGCGCTACCCGAGTGGTTAGCATTGCGCACTGTCACATTAAACAAATTAAAGAAATTTAATTTAAATAAAAAATGAAGTTCAATTTTCTAATGGTGGTCGCCCTTAGGCAGGGAATATCAATGCAGGTCCCTCCATTTTCTTGGAAAAACATCAAGAAGCAAAGCCACAAATTACAGGAAGAGCTCGGCCGAAAATCGCCCTACTTTTATACATATATATTCACACATCACTTAGAAACTAGAGTAAATACGTATAGGACGATACCCGCAAGCCTTCTAAGGAACACGATTTTCTTTATGACCGTTGCTGCCCCACGGTGTCAATGTTTACCCAAACAATCGGTTATCGACTCCGTCGACAAAAGAACTGGTGCAATGAACTACAGTGAAAAGTTAATTGAACCTCCCATTTTATTTCACACTCATTTCAGAGTGTAGGTTATGTCATCCAAAGTTATGCCCATAGCTGGCAACAGCAAAATCATCTGTTGTGTGGCTGCTCACTAAAAATTTCAAGACCGAACTCATGTAGAAACCAAGGAGTATTCAGATGATACTGACTTTATGCAATATCCTGAGATGGAGCATTTGACATCCAAATCTATAATGACAGGAAAGAAGTTCCAATACCCACCGAAGTTGACGCTGCTCGAATGTGATTGCCCTATTAAGGTGTAACAAAGCGGCCGGAGCCGATGGCTGTGCTATTTAAGTGCGATGCCGAAGAACTGACAATTATGTAGATTTATTTATCCTATTATGTAAAAGGAAAGAGGTGGCCGCAGTAGCCGAGTGCTTAGCATTGCGTACTACCATTCTGAAGACCAAAGTTCGAGTCCTGGTTCGATTAAGATCCTTAAAATGATTTTTCTAATCGCAGGTCGCTCGTTGGCAGAGAATGTCAATCCCTCTAAATGTACTTCTGGCATGAAATAAAAGCTACTCATAGAAAAAATCCATCGGCCGTTCGAAGACGGATCAGAAGAAACTGTGCGTATTTTCCTCCACGTCAAGAAGCATACCACAGATGTAGTATGAGCTTGGCAACATTACTTGCCAAAATTCCATTGATTTTAAAGCTAAAGAATTGTTTAGGCAAACTAGAGTTTTCAACAACCGCGCCATTTGTTCAGCTTTCTTCAGACTGGATAATGTGTCGTAGCAAACGGGAGCAAGACGAAATATCTCCTGTCATCAAACATCAAACTGTCGCATTCGCGACTCGACTCACACAGCACGGTTGACAGTTATGACTTTGAATTGTATATCATTTGGTCTGTCTAGAGGAACCAGACTTAAAACCCAATGCAGAATCACTTTTTTCAACAAGTGCTATGTTGAGCTTAGCGCATCAAGATGTCTCTTCATAATTATTATTTCTTCTTAAGTAAAATGAAATAAAATTCTTTATAGTGAAATTATTCACATTGAATAATTGCTTTAATTAATTCATTGTCTTAAATATGAGATTTTATTTCAATAAAAGTCATGGAATTGTAAAATAAGGCAATTTTCATAATAAAAAGATTTAAATTCTGATTTTTTGTAATTTTAATTCATACGATTGTCCCGTGCAACGTCACGGAATACTAAACAAAATGGAAAGTAAAATGTTGATAATAAATATACATATATAATCTGGAAAAATGTCCTTGTTGGTACAAGTACTTTTCCATATATGTATGTGCATTGTATAATGACATGAACTCTGCATCCTTTTCCTTTTGAATTTATACCCTGCGTACGATGCAGTTATGAATTAGAGAAAGTGACTTGATTTCCTGGCACACTTGGCATGCCTTTGTCACCGCCATTCGCTCCTCTCAGGGTAATAAAGTTGCCATAATGAGCTCAATAACTCACTGCAAAATGAAATGCATATGTATTATGTAACTGTGTGTGTATGCGCCGTTATTACAAATATCTCTTTGAATATGGAGCAATTGTATTTAATACATGTATGTATGTATTTTATGTATTTTGCTTTTGACTGCTTTTGACAAACTGGAATACGGCATGCTTCATTGCGCTCTAAACCCAGTTTTATTTTATTTTTTTCAATCATTTATTGAATTGTAATTTTGCTTTGATTTATATGCATTTTCAATTGAAAAGTTTATAAAATTATTCAATCTGTTTTTTTTTTTTCTTTTTTCTTTTTCTTTACAGTGAATTACACATTTAAAGCTCAAATATGGTGATAAGCAATACGGATGCAGTGGCCGCTGCTGCCACCGCCAATAACGCTGCTGGCGAAGCCGGCGATATGGCGCATCCATCGGGTATTCCACGAGATAGAATAGATAATATAATGAGCGGTATAGCGAATACTGGCGATGTGAAAATGAATAACCACCGAAAGAAGCTGCGTCAGAGGTGAGTAACGAGCTTGCGAATATACAATAATATTTATTATTCCTCTATATTTCATTGGCTTTATAAATAACTGAGTTTTTTACCATTCTTTTTTTTTTGTGCTCGACAGATTTGATATTATCAAAAAGTTAGGTCAGGGCACATATGGCAAGGTGCAATTAGGTATAAATAAAGAAACCGGCCAGGAGGTCGCTATCAAAACTATAAAAAAGTGCAAAATAGAAGCTGAGGCAGATTTGGTGCGTATAAGACGTGAAGTGCAAATTATGAGCTCAGTGCAGCATCCAAATATTATACACATTTATGAAGGTTGGTATTATAAGGATATTTGGAAATTTAGAAATAAAGCTAGATAATTTAACTTGTAGTATTTTATTTATGTTCTTTTATTAAATTTATTTTTTTCGTTCTATTTTTTATTTGTTGTTTTTATGTTAACTTATTTTATTTTATTTCGTTTTAATACAATTTATTTTATTTTAATTCATATAAATTTATTTTAATTTATTTTGTTTTTTTATATATTTTCTGGCATTTTATTTTATTTTTTTCATTTAATTTAATTTCTATATTTTATATTATTTTATTTTGTTGTATTTAAATAATGAATAATGAATAAATTGAGATATATTTCTTTTCAATTTTTTATTTCATCCATTTTAATTTATTTATTTCATTTTGATTTTATTTCATTTTATTTTAATTTATTTTAATTTTTGTTAATTTATTTTAGTTTTTTTACTTTTCTTAATGTAGTTTATTTCATTATGTTCTTTTATTTTATTTTATTCTAATTTATTTTATATTAGTCTATTTTATTTGATTCGATATTATTTTTGTCTCTATATTATTTAATTTTATTGTTATTTTATTTCATCTTATTTTATTTTATCTTCTTTTATTTGATTTATTTTTAGTTAATTTTATTTCGTTTTCTTTTATTTTGGCTTATTTTTTTAATTTTATATATAGTTTTTTTTTAAATCTATTTTAATTAAGTTTGTTTTTTATTTTATTTTAATGTATTTTATCCATTTTAATTTATTTTATTTCATTTTATTTTAGTCTATTTTTTATTATATAAATTAATTTTAGTTTAATTTATTCATTTTGTTTTTTTTCTCATATTATTTTAGTTAATTTTAATTTAGTTTATTTTATTTATTGTTTTTTATTTATTTATTTATATGAAATAAAATTATAAATAATTACATTACAAGATTAAGGCATTTAGCATCGGGGGCTATGGGTCTTTATTTATTTTAATATATTTATTTCATTTTGTTTGAGGTTTTTATTTGACCTTATTTTATTTTTTTATTTATTTTATTTTAATTCATTTAATTTTATTTTAACATATTTTATTTTTTATTTTAATTTATGTTTTTCCATTTGAGCTTAGTTTACTCTAATTTATTTTATTTTATTTCAATTTATTTTAATTAAATTTGCTTTAATTTTTGAAATGATGCAATTAATTTTTTTTTATTTTATTTCATATTTTCATTTAATAAATTTTTTTCTTTTATTTCATTGTATATTATTTTACTTTACTTAATTTGATTTTAATCTATTAGTTACTTGTTTTTTATATTTATAATTTAATTTATGTTGGCTTATTGTTTTTTTTTTTGTTATTTGATTTTTCGTTATTTTAGTTTATTTTAATCTATATAAGTTTAATTGATTTATTTAATTTTAATTGATTTATTTAATTTTGTTTTTTTTTTTATTTCAGTTTATTGTCTTTTATTTTATTTAATTTTGTTTTCTTTAAGTGGATTTTATTTCTTTTATTTTATTTTATTTTATTTTATTTTATTTTATTTTATTTTATTTTATTTTATTTTATTTTATAATGCACGATTTGTTTGCATGTGATGCGATTGAATGTCATGTGATGTTTTGTCACATGATGTGATTTTATTAATTTATACCTTTAACTACAATAATACTTAATTTACATTTGCAGTATTTGAGAATCGGGAAAAGATGGTGCTGGTTATGGAATTTGCCGCAGGCGGTGAGCTCTATGACTATCTCTCTGAACGTAAGGTGCTTAGCGAGGAAGAAGCGCGTCGCATATTCCGACAAGTGGCCACGGCTGTGTATTATTGTCACAAGCACAAAATTTGCCATCGCGACCTTAAGCTAGAGAACATATTACTCGATGAGCATGGCAATGCAAAGGTCAGTGAGCACTAATAATGCATATACGCGCACATATACACCCACTTCTCTTCTTCTCTATCTCTCCCTTTCTCTCTCTCTGTCTTCTTTGTTTCTCTTTCTTGTGAAACTTGTATTGTGACATTTTTCTTTTACCATTTCTAGATCGCCGATTTTGGCCTATCAAATGTGTTCGACGAACAAAATTTACTCTCCACATTTTGCGGATCACCGCTTTATGCCTCACCGGAAATCGTCGAAGGTACTCCCTATCAAGGTCCAGAAGTCGACTGCTGGTCCCTTGGTGTACTCCTCTACACTCTAGTCTATGGATCGATGCCATTTGATGGTTCCAATTTTAAAAGACTTGTTAAGCAAATCAGTCAGGGCGACTACTATGAGCCAAAGACACCGTCGCGTGCTTCCACACTTATACGTGACATGTTGACGGTGAGTCCACGTAAACGTGCCACCATCGAACAAATTTGTGCACATTGGTGGGTGAATGAAAATGATAATGTGTCATGTTTGGATTTGGCTGAAGAACTAGCAACACAAACGCCAGTTAGATTGGATGTCCTATTGTCGTTGACACCGGCCGCTGTCACGGCCGATCAATTGGTTGTGCCATCCGCTGATGCGGGCAAAGCAGAACGTGTGCCAAGAAGTCATTCGGTGGGTTCGATACGAGAAATGGGCGGCAATACGGAAGCGGAACAAAGAATATTGGACATGGTGGCTGGTAGGTAGAAAAAATTATTTTGTGTGTACGTAGTTTAACTGCATTGAGCAGAGCTTGTGGATGGAAAAAATGTATGTGCCCAGTAAAAGAGTGAAAGAGAATTGAAAGCGCTGCAAACTCTGCTCAGAGTCTTTCTTCCACAAATATTTTTTCCGATTCCTCTTTCTTTCAAAAAAAAAAAAACTACATTATATATTTGTTTTTATGTATGTCTTTAGTATTTACTTTGTCCCGATGTCTGTAAATAGCTGATAACTTTCTTTTCCTACCTCTCATGTGCGTTCAATTTACTCTTCACAAACCTTCCGCGCTCTCTCCAAAAATATTATTATTATACTTCCACATACTTTTGAAATCCACAAACTTGACTTCATGCAACCCGACAACATGTACACATTCAAGTGGACTAAATTTGTATATCCATCTTAATATTAACACATAACTCATTACATCTCCTCTACTCTCTCTCTCTTATTTCTCTTCACATATATAATTTTCATGCACCTCATTAGCCGGCGGTGAAGCAGCGCTCATGCCGTCACCAACACGCACAATCACACCAACGCAGAGTCCAGTGCAGAGTAAGCGGAAACTTGAAACCACTGTCTCCACAGAGAATGCACATGGTGCAGCGCTCAAGAAGAAAGATAAACCTGGTAGTAGTTCCATGATAATCAGTGAAACAACAGCACCTCTGACGGAGGAAATTCCCATGGAGACAGAGGAGGATGAGGCAGCAGGAATTGTCGTCGAAGAGCCAATTACACCAGCGCCCGGCACAACAATGCCCACTGGTAGCTTCTCTCAAAGAGATATGGAAATGGTGGGTGATCTTTGCGAGCAACTGATGAACGTTCCTGAGCAGTCGAAATCCACTGTTGCCTCTGCACCTTCCCAGACTGAACCCGGCACTGCAGTGACACCTACACAAGCCAGCGTGCCGCGTCAAAGAACTATTGGCAAGCTCGAATCGCTAGAAGAGACGCCCGAGGAGAAGGATGCAACCAAAGTTATTAAGAAATTCGTCAATAAGCATAAAACCGCTGATCTGGTGAATGCCATCGGTCAAATTACTCCTCCAGGCGAGAAAGGCAAAGAGCCAACCGCTACATCTACAACAACTACAACCAATAATGCCAAAACCGCAATCGGCAAACCCACCGGCGGCATCGCGGCGACAACTAACAACACGGCGCCCGCACCGTTCGTGCGCAAATGCAGTCTACAAGACGACACGTCATTGAATAAATTCAATGCTGATCGGCGTAAATCACGTGTCCTCGAGACCACCGAAAAATTGCAACAAATGAACACGAACACCGCCAGCGGCAGCGGTAGCGGCACTGCAGAAAAACCGAAAAAGTTCAGCATACCCGGCGTTAGCGTCGGTAGTTTCAAGAAGGAGTTCGAGCGAAAGGCCGCCAATCCGCCTGCCCCACAAGGTCCAACACCCGGTGAGCTGCGTGCCATGGAAGAAGTTGCCGCTGCGGCAGCGGCAGCACAAGAACTAGAAGAAGCTGCTGACCAACAACCAACAACACCCGCCACGACTGCAGCAGGCGTTGAAACAGCACAAGAGTCAGCATCAATTGAGGCAAGCGATTCGAAAAACTCCGTTGCATCGCTGTCGCTTGAGGATGCGCGTCGCTCCATGGAAAACTCCATAGCTTTGTTGCGTCAAGCACAAAGTGAATCGTCGAAAGAGGTGGATCAGCTATGCGCACAAACAGAGAACATCGAAGTCAGCGAGAACAGTAATCCCATAGTGGTCGCAGAACGCGAACGGAAGTTGAAGAATGCCCGCGCTATCATTGGAAATGCCATACAGCCAGGTAAGTGAAATGCGAGTGAGGCTGCTTAAGATGAAGTAACACAAGCGTTAACAAGCTCCATCAAATTAAAGGAAACCGGAATGTTGTTTCAAAAATTACAAAAAAAAAGAGAATATTTAACAGCTTGTGCTTTGAATAACTGTATAGGAGTTCTAACAAAAATTTTGCACAAAAGTAAATAACCAAAGTTGTCTGAGCTTAAATTGTAGCCGTTTAACAGAATAGCCTAGAATATCGATTGCTTGGTTCCCATTGACAATGCGGCAGGTGTGTCTTATGCCCTTCTGCTGGTCTCGCTAAGCGGTTTAATAGCTTTTATTTCTAAGAAATTCTCCATTGGGGCACTGTTCACACCCATCAACGTGCCCTTCGCGCCTAAACAAAGTCATACGCGATGATACGTAAAGCAACAAGTACCTAATTCATACCGTGAAGGATCTCCTGAAACCTATTATTGCCTTATTGTAGTAAACCTTTGAATCTGTCTCATGAGAATGTATGAGCCTGTACCCTATTCCATTTATGGCGCGTTTTATATACAAAAAACAAGGTTGTGAGATCCGAGCAGCATATTGAGCGACGTACAAAGTAACAACAACTTCTCTAGCCAGGCATGCTTAGTACCCAAAGGCGTCCACTTTAACCATTAATCTTAAGTTCTGCCTTCGCTAAATGAACTCATTTTCTGCATAACGCCTTGAATAGTGTTGATATCTTGAAGTAAATTTGACTGCTTAATTTTGTTCCTTCTTCCTGCGATCAACAAAAATAACTAACAATCACAACTTCCACGAGCTTCTTGGGCTGAGAGTATCAAAGCCAAACGCTGACGTGTATGCTATGCGGTGGACCCTGTTCTTTCGTTGTACCCTTCACTTTTTATGGCTATGAACATGGAGACTTAGAAGTTGTTGACTCTAGAGAAACGAGAACTATTTTAGTATTGTACTTCCGGTACTATCTTCCAAGTGCAGTAGTCGTTCTGCTCAGCAGCATTTACATTTCCATTTCCACCGAAACTAGTCGAGAGTAGAGAGCCTTTTCGGCTTAGTGTAAACAGTAGATCTCTTCATTTGTTAAAAAAATAACAAGATGACCACAACAAATCAAAGGGAGGATCTCAACCGAAAATTGCTCAGGTCAATTATTTATAACGGCTCTTTTTTAGATAATGATCTGATGTTTATTTCAATGTAAAGAGGAAGATATGCCATTAATAATGGAAAATAGTGTCAGCCAAATGGCAAAGTGGCTGCTGTATGCCCTCAATAACTTCAAGAATTCCATCTTTAAGGTCTTAAACAACATTGTACTGCTGGCGTAGACATTATCTATCTTGTGGCTTTAAGGAAAGAACTCGCAAGCTGTTAAATCACAAGATCTCGGTGGCCAGTGGCGATCACCTCTTGGAGAGATGATATGTTCTGGAAACTTTTCCATTAAAATATCGATGGTTTCGTTGCTCGTGTGGCATGTAGAACCGTCTTGTTGAAAATAAACGTTGTCCAGATAAATACCAACCAATTCTAGCCATAAAAAAATCATTAGTCAACGCTCGACAGTGCAATCCATTCACTGTAACTGTTGCTCTATTTTCGAAAAAGTTAGAACCAATGACCCCACCGCAGGATTTTTCTTCAAGACTTTAGGCTACAGCCAGCAAATGTCTCAGTCGGTTTTTGAGCGACGTGCACGCAATTTATTCTTCACATCACTAACTTGTCCCAAAAGCTCCATTTTTTTCACCAATTTCTGTATTGAGGTTCAACAAAGTGGTTCACGAAGACCGAAAAATGTTTTGTTTCACAAATCGTCTCGGCCAGTTTTTCATCATTTTTGTAGTAAATTTTATTAATTTCAATGCATTATTGAAGCGTGTATCGTTCCATTTTTATTACTGGCGTAGTTTTTGCTTGTCAAATGTCAAAAACTTACAGGTTCGAAGGCGACATCTACCGGAAAATTAGGCTATTCAAAATAGCAACTCTTATTGGAAAACCATTTTTAAGGAAAATAAAAAAGAATTAAATTATGTCAACTATTTTTATTATTAAATTTATTATTATGCTTTCTCAATCACGATTTTTCTTAGAACTCCTATATCTTCCTTCTCCGCACAACAATTACGACTTACGAAACGCTTTGAAGCAAGTCAAAATTTATTTAAACAAAAGTCTAAGTATTTTTTTCAAAATCGTAAAAAAATATCCGTTAGGAAAATTTCGGCCTATCAATCAAACATTGGAAGTAGCATCAAATTTTTTTTTTTTTTTTTTGTCATTTGTAGTTATTTCATTTGCATTTATTCATCATATGATACATACATACACACTTATCATATAAATACAAAAATTTACATAAATACATAACCGTGAATTAATGCTATAAGACAGTCATACCGACTCACATGCATCTTTTCACATAGACACACATATCTACATATGTACAAACATACATGTACATTTGTACATGCACGCAACACGTAAGTTCATTTGCATCATCTCATCATTGGTTCATCTATTTTAGTTATACGCAGGCCACCATCTCAACCATCCTTTGGTATCGGCGGCGGGGGCTACGGTCAAATGCGTGCAGCCAGTAGCGGTTTTATTGGTTTTGGCAGCAGTGGCAGTGGCAGCGGCAACGGCAGGCATAGCGGCTTGGGTATTGGCGATGCGGACGGCAATGGTTTTGCGCCGATCGGTCTCAGCAATATCCAGCTGGGGTGTGGCTTTAGCGGCGGCAGCGGATTTGGCGGTGGAGGCGGTTCTACAACCAAAAAATTGGCGTATAATTTTAGCAATACTTTGCCACGGGCATTTCAAACACCACCACCGCCGCCGCCGCCGTCGGCCACCACCCCTCTTCTGTTGGCAAATGCAAAAAAAGTCAATGCTAACGTTGCCCTCGCCGCTGCACGGCAACATATAATGGGACGTTTGGCAGCAACAGCAGCGGGTGTGGGCGATCAGAATGAATATGTACAACTACAACAACAAAAGCAACAACAAGGTCCACTACATAATGAACCATTTAAACCATCCAAATATTTCATACAGTCACCCACTTCCCCCTCCAACTCCTCTCCATTGTATAATAACAGCAATAATGTGAGTTTTCATCACAACCAACAACAAGAAACACTGCAATACATGCCACAACAGCAACAACAACAACCACCACCACCACCTCAATATCAGCCAACTAATTCGTTGCAACAACAATTAACTGGTACACAAAACCAAATTTTGCAATTCCAACAAAGACTACATCAATTACAACAACAAAGACAGAGACATCATCAAACGCTGTTACAGCAGCAAAACGAAATAGAACAGCAACAGCAACAACAACCATTTTACACAACACAGAGTCATGCACTATCACAGCATCAACAACAACAACCATTGATGCATCAATACCATCACCAACAACAACAACAACAACAACAACAAACTCACAGCATGTCAATGCCACACACACTTGCCGCCGCATCTGCCATTGCCACTGCCGCCAACGTCAGAAATACCGCCGCCCTGAATACCCCGACCACCGCCGTCGCCGCCACCGCGAATAGCGTGCCAAAACCGTTTTATAATGCACCACCTCCTTCTTCGCTATTCTACAAATGTAAGTTTAGTTGTCGTTGTCGTTCGTACGTTCGTTCGTCCATTCGTTCGTTCGTTCTATCTTTCTTGCGTTCGTTTGTTCGTTTTCTTAGTTCATTAGCTGCTGGTTCCTTCGTTCTTTCTTATGATTTCTTTTATCTTTTTTCTTTTTTTTTTTTTTTGCTGTTCTCTTCCTTCTTAAGTTGATTTTCTTTTAATTTCCTTTTCGAAAATGTTGCAATTTATAATTTCCAAAATTGTAGTATTATTTAATATTGGATTTTTTGTTGCTTCTGTTTTTCGTTCATCACGTACACATACATATGTATACATATATACATACATACATCTCGTACAAAAATAGATACCGCCGCAGCAATGCTTCTCCAAACAATCTCGTATATCTTGTGCTTACTATATACATACATATGTATGTACATATGTACATTAATAATAGAAGAAACAAAGTGCTGATTTATTTCGAATTTGGTTTGTTTTCTTTGATCTTAACGAAAATTTCGTTAGTCAAAATATTTACATATGATTACCTTTTTTTGATTTCAAAATTCTTCATTTAAAATATGCAAAACAGGAATGGGTAAATTTTTAAAAAAAAATTCAGAGAACGTAAATTATGATTTCGGATATTCAAAAACACTCAATAAGATGAATGGGATTTTGAAACTTAAATTCTTGTAATTATTTGTCTATTTTCAAAAGACCATAGAATGATAGTGTAGTGAACTGACCACAGAAAGGTAACGGGCTCAACATTTCAGGGTTACCATTTTGGAAAAAAAATTTAAATTTCTCATCTTTAAGAAGCTATTTCTTTTCAGTACCATGTAAAGTGATTGATCTTAAGACTGAATAATATCTTTCAGGCCACAATAGTAGCTTCTAAGAAAAAAATCAAGAGCTTAAATGAAAGCGAGGCACTTAATAAGACGGAAAAGAAACCCACTGCAAAATTTGTGGGCACGTGTGATGGAAGCAGCCCTACAGAGGATAGCTTCAAGCTTAATCTTTGCATATATTGATCAAGTAAAAGTTTGTTCGGTTTTTATCCAAGAGATATTGTTATTGTCCACAGTACTAGTGTTACGTGTCGCATCATGTCATACTATGCGGCGCTGAAAACATGTTTATTCGCGCTAAAAGTTTGTCTTTGACAGTTTTTCGATTGATTGACTCAGTACGTTGTGAGCGCTCGTCAAAGATGGGCACCAGCAAAGAGAAAATTCGCGGGTGAAAAAATTGATTTAGTTTATGGGCCCGATACTGTGAATGAACGTGTACTGCAAACGAATAGACCCTCACGTGAGCACTTATTAAATTGCTGAGGAACTAAAGATAAGCCAGAAAACCGTTTGGAGCCATTTGCATCGCCTTGAATTCAAAAAGAAACTCGTTGTTTGGCTGCCACACGAACTAACGCAAAAAAAAAAACATAATGGACCAAATATCCATCTACGAATCGCTGCTGAATCGGAACAAAATCTTCTGTTTCTGAAACGGATTGTAACTTGTGATGAAAACATGATGAAACATCGAGTGCAAAAAGTCGTTGGGAAGCGGCCCAGAAGGTGGCCAAGACCGGGTTGACGGCCAGGAAGGTTTTGCTGTGTGCTTTTTGGGATTGGCAAGGAATCATCTACAGCGAGCTGCTCCCCTATGACCGAACGGTCAACTCGGCTCTCTACTGCCAACAAATGGACCGTTTGAAGGTAGCACTTATCCAGAAGAGGTCATCTTTGATCAACAGAGGCTGAATTGTGTTCCATCAGGACAACGCCAGGCCACACACGCCTTAGATGACGCACCAGAAGATCAAAGAGCTTGGATGGGGGGCCCTAATGCACCCACCTTATAGTCCGAACCTGGCACCAAGTGATTGCCTTCTTTTCCTGTCCATGGCGAACGCGCTTAATGGTGAGAAGTTGGCCTCAAGAGAGGCAAGTGAAAATTGGCTCTCCGAATTTTTTATCAATAGGGACGCAGCCTTCTACGAGAGGGATATAATGAAGTGGCATCTCGCTGGCAACAAATTTACGAACAAAACGGCGCATATTTGACTTAAATCGGACAAATGTGCACAAAGTTGTCATATTTTGAAAAAGCAATAAAAAAAAAACCCGAACGAACTTTTTACTTGACCAATATATTAAAAATATTTTGTGAAAGTTTCTATTCCTGAGTGTGGGTGAAGAAAACCCAAGATCTTTCTTCACATATCCGTTTGCAATGTAATCAAAACTATGCGACTACTCAAGGTACCTACATATGTTACCTTTCTTCACTTTTATTATTACGACCCAAAAGCAAAAGATCCTAGTTCCATCCTGGATCCATCCATACGGTGACATGCCAAGTTATTATACTCTCCCTAAACTTCCATTAAGCCTCATCTGCAATTTTTCTACATTTGCATGAAATTTAATTTCTTGAGACTGGATTCTTCTTCTTCATCAACAATAAGGCGCCATTCGTTTCTTCTCTTCGCTATTTATATATATATATAATGCAGGTCCCTAGATAGAAGAAATTACCTACAGCCTCGAGTGGGAGCCAAGTAAATTTGAATTTTATTCTATCAACCCCGGGAGTCTGTTAGCTTTTTCTAAAAAATTTCAATTTTGTTAAATCATTTTCTTCATTTATTTATTGACTCACAATGCTGAAAATGATGGAAACATTGATGCGTTTCCAAATTTTTCTGGGTTTCAGAAAAGTAATTGTCTGCAATGCAATTTTTGGATCGCTGTTTTTTCTCAATAAAAGTAAGGAGTCAGCCTTTAGAGCACAAATCTTTAACTAAAGAAAAAAAAATATGGAGAGGTTATTAGTGAGCCGCTTAGAACCACATCAAGGAGTGAAGATAGCGGAGCTTCTCTTTTTAGTTAAACCCGATTTTCGGTTTTCCCAGCAAGTTTCCGCCACCCATCGTTGATTGAGCACGCCCAAGGCTACTAACTGCTAACCAAATAGTTGGGCGACGGATGTGATTGCGTTTTACTTTTTCATTTCGATGTAAATTTTTGTTTGTTCCTTAATGTTTTATTCATCTACCTGCCAACTGACTAATACCGTTTTAAAAAATCTCCCAAATTAATTTTTAACTATACATATTAGAGCTCTAGCCACCTGTACGAGCTCGATACTCGGTCATTGCCCAACTGCTCAAATGTTTGTTTGATTTGTTTGCATTTGTTGAGCTTTTGAACGATTCGAGTATTCATTGCACAAGAGCTCGTTTTGATCGAAAATGTTAGCACTCGGTTCTTGAGCTCTAATATACATATAGCTAAACAGTTGATCGTTATTGATTTCTGCACCTCTTTGGAAAAAAAGAGAATTCTCTACAGTTACGACAGGAGTTTGTAAGTTTTAAATATATACACGTATAATCCATAACTTTTTCACCCATTTTCATCCATTTGCTTAATTCATGTCGCTTCTTTCAATGTTCACTAATCATCATTTTGCCCACATTGCTCACTGCATTAAGCCCCCATTGGCGCGTATTGTAGACTTTCAACTTTACAACTTTTCTAACGATATTTACCTTTTTGTTTTTGTTTCTGTTTTTCTCTCCGCTGGCGCACAGCATCACCCGGTGGCGAACCGAATAATACAGTTAAGACTTCAACCGCAACGATAACATTGAAATCAGCCACATTGCCGCGCCGTAAACCAACCGCCAAAACGGAAATCCAATTAGAAATCAAGCCGCGTATTGTCGAACAACCGAATATGCGTTTCACAACGGAAATGCAACATCCCGTCGCCGATTTGCGTAGTGCGCCGCCACGTGACGGACCGGCACCATATAGTCCGATCAAGACGATGCTGAATGCGCGCGCTGCCAGTTTAGAACCAAAGGAGCATATTATACCCATACAAAGGCCACAAGCGCCATACTCGCGTACCACTTCAAATACAACAACGAGGTGAGTTGAATTGCATTTTTTGTGATTGCTTTTTATTATTGATTTTTCTTAATTCTGCATTACTCATTTCAAGATCCGGTTCACTATCACGTCAATCCACCAATGATTCTGAATCCGATACAACAACAACAGCAAATATGTCACAATCCACCATAACGGGCTCATCACAACCGATTAAGAAGAGTCCACGTGAATTTATCATACCGATAGCAATGGAGGGCGGCGGCTTTATAACACCGCGTGAGGGCAGTATTGAGCCATCGGAGTCTAGTCATACCACATCGAGTCGTGCAACATTCAATCGTTTGCGTCCCACTCGTCGCATGGGGTATGTTTAATAATTGATTTGAATTTTTTATTCATTTATTTCTTTTTCTTTTTTTGATAAAAACAACTAATTATTTATATTGAATTTATAGCAGCTCACTACTCAACGATTCTGGCATCGACGATAATTCGCCATTCCAGAAATTCCGCACATCCTCCGGCAATAGGGATGGCGATGAGGAGCCACGTTTCACGCTGCATCGATTGAGGTGAGACTGAAGAAAAAATTATAAAATAAAACTTTTCATTATATTTCCTTCAAACGTTGCAGAAGCTCTCGGCCCGTAAAGAAACAGAGTCAGGAGAATGATTCACAAAGTTCCGGCGAAGAAGATGACGATGATGGCTTTGAAATATTGACCGCTGAAAATCTCTTCTCCACATTACTACAACGAGTATTTTTCAAACAAACTACAAATTTATTAGAAATTTACTATATTTGCTATTTTTTCCTTTTAATTTACGCAAAATTTAGGTGCATGCACTGACACATCGCATGAATGTTGACAAGGACTTAACTTCAGGATTTTCAAATTCAAGCCGCCTGTTGGGCAATATGCGACATGGTTCCTTCTGGAATCAAGAACCCTTTGGCAGGTGAGTTTTATTGTTGTTTTAAAAATTTGTTATTGTGTTTTTGCTCTTGCTCTTTAATATTTCTGATATTTTACTTCATAAAAATAACTTAATGTAAAATTTAAATTAAAATTTTCATACTTATTTCTGTTTTCATGCTGCGTGTGCTTTTGGCTAACAATTAACAATTACTAAATGGTGTTTCTTATAAAACAATAAAAATAATTCATTTAATACTACCCAAACGCCATTATACAATTATACATATAAGATCTCAAGTGAGTTATACTTACAGCGAAACGGTCGAGAAGAAACAAGTGTAAGTTTTGGTTTAGTTATGCAGCGCTTAGTTAGAGAGCACCATCCTTATGCTTCTTCTTCTTTGTCTAATTTTTCATTTCTAATTATTACTTTATTCCTTGTTGTCTACCTTTTAACCCTATACTCTAGAGCTAATACAGGAAACATCGCTGTGTATTTTCCTATTGAAATTAAAATTTATAAAAATATTAATCTTATATACTTTTTTTAATGCAAAATTAGTTTATACAGGGTTATGCATTTGCGGTTTCGAAATATATATTATTTTCTTTGAAGTACATTTTTTCTACATATGAAACACTATATCATTGAAACGACCGCCTCTCAAATTTTCGCAAACTTCAGTCCATCTATTGTAATTTTCTACCACCTTATGGTATATATTGAACGGCACCTCTGTCCTAACTTAACAAATATTGGTTTTCTAATGCTCAAGAGTTAAAGGTTTATCCGCAAAAATACGGTTTCTCGAGTTGCCTCACAAAAATATAGTCCAACCGCCAAAAAGTACGATATCGGCGACCAATTGACATCGCCAAAACGAGAGATTGCGCGGCCGGGAAATGCCTTTCCAATAAAGTCATATTCGCTCGGGTATGTGGCACCATCTTGTTGAAACCAAAAAAGTTGGTTATCATACGACTATAACGCTCAGAATCGACAGTGTCAGTCTCGCCATTGTCTTTTTCAAGTAATTAAGATCCAGTCACACCTCCAGACCAAAGAGCGTAAGTTTTCTTGAGTGTAATAACCACTCTACAATTATTTGAGTATTTTCAGATCCTTAAATGCTAGAATTTTGCTTATTCACGTATCTCTCGAGTGAGAAATATGCCCTGTCTTTGAACAAAATTTTGTTCGAAAAACCGCTGTCCACTGCTTGTTGTTCAAGTAGCCAATAGACTTAAGTACGACATTGTGAATGGACTGCTGGCTTATGGGTATAAGTTCAGTGTGTTAAAGGGTCGTAATAAAGTCCTAACATTTGGAAAGGTCGAGAAATAGGCAAATTCAGATCTTAAAAAAAAACTAACGATGATACACAGGCCTTACAATATCTGTAAACTATCGATCTGTAAAATTTTAATTGGACCATTACGTGTACCTCCTCTTAAAGCACGAAACGTGGCCGGTTCCATCATATATTTTTTCAGTAGGTTTCAACAATTTTAGTGGATTGTGCGGTTGTTCAGCGATTCATTTTCATAAATGTCTGGCTTTGCCTGGTTTGAGAGTTAAGTTAGACAGATGTCAAACTACAGCCCCATACTTTTGAAATCGCGAAATGGTTAACACACATAATTATTTTAAGTTTACTCAATTTTGGTTGATTTATTTCTGAGAATCTCATCAAGTCATCGCAGAAATATTTGTTGTTTAAAGTTTTTGTGAATTGTTTCTACGGAAGTTGCCTTTTATATTTCGGTATTAGTGAACATAAACAAATATAAATCATCGAAAATCGCTTTATTGATTTTCAAAATATTCTATATTAAGATATACATATGTGTGTACTTTTGCATGCGCTTGAACCAATTTTCGAAGCACTTTCATCACTTTGATTGAGTTATCTCCATTCCAAAATTTACATCCTGAACGCATCAACCGCCGCTTCAGGTGTAGAAAAACTTCGACCTCTGAGTTTATCTTTTACGTACATGAATAAAAATAAGTCATTCGGTGCCAAGTCAGAACTATAATACGATAACTCATCAAATCGCTGTTTTAAGTGGTCAAAAATGCAGTTGTTTCAGTTGATATGTGAGAACTCGCATTGTCGAGTTGAAGAGTGATCCGTTTTTGGCGGTTGGTTTGCCTGATTTCTTAAAAGACAAGTGGCACACAAATGGTTGTTATACCACTGAGAATTTACTGTTCTGCGCTATTCTAATGGTTGCGACAACTCCAGTTTTTTTCAAAAAAAAAAAAAAGGCAACAATTCGGTTTGTCGAATTCGACTCATCTTTAAACAGTCACACATTCGACTACTGTTTCGCTTTAACCTAGAGACCTTTTTACTATTTCTCTCGGCTTTTTTTTAAGCGACAGACAAATTGTGTGGGAGCCTACAGTTGTCTCAATCTCACGTTAGGTCACATGACGATCGAGCAAAAAGTTCATACATCCTGGAATGCAAAAGGCAACTCTCGTATCATCGGTTTTGTTTAATTTAATTTATTTTCTTTTCATTTTTCTTATCGCTATCTAAACTTCAATAGATTTTTAAAAATAAAGCAACGAGTTCAGAGGAGTATCGCCAAAGTTTCTCAATTAAATAGATTTTTCTCCAATTTCCTATCACATTGTTGCTTGTAAGTTGGATGATAAAAGTTTATACAGTTTTAAATATATTTATGTATATATAAAATTGATGTCATTCAAATTCAGGTCATCGTACCGCACTGAGCATGAGACTCCTCTGTAAACTCACTGCAAGTTGAACGTTAAAAGTCTCATAATTCATTTGATTGAAATAGTATATTTAATAATAACTTATTCCATATGCAACAAAAATTCCAAATCCTATTTGGGCATAGATATACATATGTACACATAAACCTATTGGAATACATTAACACACCGATGTGAACGTTATTAATCCTTTAGCTGTTAAAAGTTTGAAAAGTATTTTTAGCATCAAAATTTTGTCTGGTCATCAAAGATGCACATACACATATACATATGTGGTCTGACGCTGTCATGATGAAGTACCACAACTTTATTAGAGATCAATTTTAGACGTTATTTTGGAAAGTTTGTGGTAATATGGTTAATTTCGCCAGACTGTAGAAGCTCATAATGAATAATTATCTTCCACTCCTACCATACATTTGATTTTGGTTTGAAGTCGTATATGGAGGGCCTTTGACCATGATTGCTCACACTGTCACACACACGCTGTCGATATGCACAATCTCGGTGACCTATTGATATCGGCATGGCGATAGATTACGCGGCTGGGAAATTTCTTTCGCAAAGAAGTCATTTTCCCTTGTGTTCTCATACGACCACAACGCTCTAAACTGACAGTAAAATTCACCGTTGTCGTTTAAAAAAAAACCTCCCGACGAAAGAGCACACGAGACAGTAAGTTTTTTTTTTTTTTGGTGTAATGAGTACCCTCAGAGCCGCAGTTGCGAGAATTTTACTTATTTACGTATCTCCCCAGTGAGAAATGTACCTTGCCTTTATAAATGAAGCCAGCCATAATGTTACACTCAATTTGGAACGCTATAAAGCGATGAATATCAACCTTTTCTTGCCTAAATTGTGGGATATATAGGGATCCAAAGTTGCTGTAAAGGCAACGAAATAAACAATTTATTGGAAGAAAATTTTGGTGAATGCATTATACCGCGTTGTGGGCCTCCAATATTTACCACTATTGTACTATTTTTAATATTTTTTGTGAGATTATGTGAAGAGTCTATTGTCTATGCAAATAAGCCACGGCGCTTGACACCTTGGAAGAGAATATTCGGCGCGTTATTGCTGCCAAAAGTGTACGAAAATTAGATCTCTCGAGTGTAATTTATTTATTCGAGCCAGTCGTTGCCATCACACAACTGAAATCTTTTTAAAACATAATTGCAAATCCTTGTCCTTATCATAAAATAACTTCTACGCCATACTGAAAGTATGTCCATTCCGCGTGGGTCAGTTTGAAGTTTATACAGAAATTATTCCTCAAAGTTTTTTCTCCAAATTTTTTTAAGCTATCCAAATAAATTCTTATTTATGTGCGTTTAATTTTAAAAACTTTCCTCAATGTATGTGTAAAGGGTTTATTTTTTGCTTTTTAACTATTATGAAATATACATACGTTATAACAATTATATTTTTCATCTTTCCCAAAACCTCTCTGTATCGTCTATAATGCAGCACTAATTTTTTATTTTCAATTTTATAGAAATTAAAAAAAAATGTATTTCTACTTACTTACATATACCTATGTTTTATTTCTCCTCTTCACTTGCAGCCGCCTCAACACCGCTTCTGGCAATAATGTTGGCGCACCATGGCGTCATAGTATGTCACGTGATCTGGGCAATGACATGGATTCGATATTTTCACGAACTGGCGCTACATTGCCAAGAGGTGAATATCACAGATTAAAGAGTAAATTTTTAGATCATTAAAAACAAATCAAACCAAAAGAAAAAGAGCCAACCATAACGAAGCTTTATTGCAAATAGAAGGCAAATGTTGTTATGTGTTGAAACTGAAGACGAAAAGCTTCAAAATTGAACAAAAAAAAAGTAAAAAACCAAGTGAAGAAATGCAAAGCAAAACACATAAACAAACCTGCTACAACATAAACGAATAAACACGGTAGTGTACTTAATGCAAAGCAAAGCAATTGAAAATGCAAAAAAAGTAGAGAAAATGAAAAGAAATTAATAATAGTAAAATGTGTGTAGTTGTGTTGAAAATTAGTTTTATGTTGTTCTTAGTAATTTGGTGTTAGTTTGTTTTTGTAATAGAAGCTGTAGCGTATAGAATGTGAGAGAGAATTGAACAAGCATATGCACACACTGAGATGTTTTACTTACGTACATACCCTTGTATGTTTTTTTTTGCTAAGGAAGAGTTTTTCAAATTAATGTTGCTCCGTTGCATTGTAAAAATTTGGAAATTTAAAATAAATTTTCCATTATATATAATTGCTTTTACGCACACTTTTGAGCAACGGTCGTTATCGTTAAATATGCCAACTTGCATTGCAAGTTTGCAGTTAGTCAGAAATGTTTCCAATCACTTTGGTACTTGAAAAAAATTTTAAAATTCGTAAATTTAATATTTAATATTTTTGCAATTTATTTTCCTTACACAAAATTGTAATTTTCTGTTAAAAAGAAATAGCAACACTTTAGCTTATAATTAAAAAAAAAAATCAACGAATTAAATTATTGTTTTTTTTTTTTTTTGAATACATAAAAATAATATAATATTTCATTTGAAACTCAAATTCTACCATTTAATCACACTAGCTACTACTGCTCCTATCTGTTTTAGCTGTTTTACCTCTTCTTCACATACTTATAAACTACAATTATATTACAAGTAGCATTTGTAAATGTGTAACACACCAAAAAAATATTATTTATTTTATTTTCTTATAAGAAATATGTTGATTTTTGTTTTACTCTTTCAATTAAATTTAAAATGATTTTTTATTTGCTTATAATTTTTTGTTCACTATTGTTATTCCTACATTTTCTTACTGTAACTCTGAAGTAATACAGAGTTTTTGTTACTTTTAAAATACTACGTCTCTCTTATTATTCTTCTCATTATTATTCCGCCTGTGTTTCTCTTAATACTACTGTTTAAACAATTTTGTAGTTAATTGTTAAGATAATTAAACAAAAAAAAACCTCGTATTCAAAGTTTTGTACAGCAAGTGAGCGATTTAAATAAAATTGGTTTTGTGAAAAATTCGACAGTAGTTTTGAATACAAAGAGCCAGTACGCGTGTGCTACGAAAACTCGAAAATTTACGTTTTGGTTAGTTGTTGCGTTTTTGAAGGGTCAGATTGGTGTGTTGAATGTGACCGGACAAGGAATGTTGGTTTGAAAATTTAATTGTGAGATGCATAAATACAAATGTATATTTACCGTTAAATTGTCTTTGTTTTTGTACAAAAAAGTAAATTGTTTGATTTAAATGTGCAAATTTAATTACACATTTTCACGTATATGAAGTCAAATGTTCTAAAACAACGGTTATATTCAGCATGCGGCGCGACCCTTGAAAGCCAAACATCATAGCGCTATTTGGCTATACGCAGAAATATAGGTTAGAGCTAAAAGAAAAAACAAAACAAAAAACAACAGCAACCATAAATAACTTTAATTATATACAACAATACAAATGTATATTTAATATAATATTTAAATGGAAAATATTTATAAATATATATATAAACAACGCAAAAATATATTTGTAGTATAAATATTACCTACTATACATATATGTATATGTAAACGATATTCATACATAATAGATAATGACAACCCAAAATAAAATGCAAAACAAACTTGAGCGAAATAAACGATTTGATGCACAATATTACTGAAAAGAAAAAGAAAAATAATAAAAAAAAATAAACGAAAATAAAAAAGGCTGTATTTTGTTATTATTATTATTGCTTTTATTATGATTTGGTATAAATGTTTTTTTTTTAGAAGACTTCTTTTATTTATGAACCAAAACTAGTTGAACCACAGCAATTACAAATACTAAAGTAAACACATATTGAATCTGTGTAACAACAACAGCAACAGTTCGCAGCCAGTCGTGTTTGTATGCGTGCAACCAAAAGAATTCTGTAAATACATAAATTTTTAATTAGTTTGAAAAAAAAAAATATAATAACAATCAAATTATATATAATGTTTCATACATTTTTTTATCGTAAAATTTGTAATTTTGCAATGGCCCCGCTACCTTAAATTTGTTTTTTTTTTCTCTTACTCTAATACTTTTTTTTACTTTATAATGACATTAACCACAAGAAAAAATATTATGTTTCACTAACCACTGGCAAATGTTTGTAATATACCATATAGCAGTTTATATTTGTTGTTGACCTATTTTTAATATATTTTGTACAGCTTTTTTACTGTTGTTCTTATATATCAAAAGTACTATATTTCCAAGTGTGTTTTGGTTATAAACAATTAAAAAAAATTACACTTCTATTCTAAGTCACTCGCTGCGACAATTTATTAATGAAAAATGACAAAAAATTGAAAAAAACACTCACTTCCATTTAGTTTATTTGTTCTTATTTAAGGCTATTAATTTTAAAATCCGATATTAGGCTATTAACTGTATAGAACTGAATTTATTTTATTTGTATTTTTTCAATTTCAATTTTTTATTTTATTTTTTTTTATTTTATTTATTTCGTATATTTTATTTTATTATTTATGTAAATTTTAATTCATGCTGCTTTGCTTAGTTTTTTATTTTTTTTTAAGTTTTTTTATTTAGGTTTTTTTTATATATTTTATTTAGTATTTTATTTTTTTTTTAGATTTTTTATTTAGTTCTTTGTATTTAATTTTATTATACAGATGTTTTGTTTCATTTTTTTATCATTATTAGATTTTTTTATTAAAACTAATATATTTTATATAATCTTAATTTTTTTTAATCTATTTAATTTTTTTTAAGAGTATATAATTCTGTTTTTCTGACTTAAATTTATTTTAGTTTTTCTTTATTATTTTTCAATTAAATTAAGGTTTTTTATTTTATTTTTATTTTTTTCTACATTTTACTTTATTTCTTTTCAATGTACTTTAAATCATTTAGTATTTCATTTTACTTCATTTCAATTCGTTTGATGATTTGTTTTAGTTTAATTCACTATACTTCAATATTTTATTTGATGTTATTTAGTTTTATTTTAATTAATCTATTTTATGTAATTTATTTATTTTCTTTTATTTATTATTTATATTAATATTTATTTATTTCGTTCACTTCATTTAAATATATTTCCGTCTCTTTATCTTTATTATTATTTTTTAATTTAATTTTAATTTTATTCATTTTATTTTAATATATTTAATTTTTTATTTCATGTATTATTTTTAAATTTTATTTAATTTTTTTTTTAATTATTATTTGTATTTATTGTTATTTGTAGTTTAATATTTTTTTTATTTTTATTATTTGTTAGTTTTATTTTTTTTTATTTAAATTATAATTTTTAAATTTTTATGGTGTTTGGCCACCTATATGTTATTTTAAATTGAAACTTGTTTTTCGGCTTGAGGTGCATAAAAACACAATATTAGTTTGTTGGTTCACCGAAGAGGAGCCGAAATATATCGGAGTTAAACCAACAAAACTATATTGTGTTTTTATTGACCTCAAGCAGGCAAACAAGTTTCAATTTATAATATTTATTTTTAATTAAATTTTATTCACTTCATTTTAATTTTTCTAATTTTTTTATTGTTATTATTATTTTTTAATTTTATGTTATTTTTATTGCCATTATTTTGTTTCATTTCGTTTCAATTTATTTTACTTATTCTTGTTTACTTCATTGAATTATTATTATGTATATGTCATATATATATATATATATATATATATATATAAATTGATATAGCTTACTTCATTTTTGTCGTTTTTTTTACTTCTTTTCAATTTATTTTATTTTAATTTAATTATATCTGTTTCCTTTTTAGTTATTTTATTTTGTTTTCTTTTTTTGTATTTTTTGCTCTTTATTTATCTATTAATTTTTTTTTTTTTTGTAAGGTCATTTTGTATTGAATTCATTGATGTTTTGCCAAACTCTAATGCTTATAAAAATTAAAAAAAAAATATTTCGATGTTTAGATTTAACTATTTAATTGTCCAATTTGCTTAGTGACTAAATGCTTTTAATTTTTTTTTTATTAAAATAAACTGGAAAATAGTTATCAACAATAAATTGAACTCAAAATTAATACTAACAAATTTAAAGATAATATTATATACTCGCTGTTGTTGTAAAATCCAACCAAAATCCCTTTTTGCTCACACTTGCTAATATTTAAAAACAAAATTTAAAATAAAAAAATATATTTATAATAAATGTAATATCATATTTATCACTCATCTCATTAAAAAAGGAAGCGAACCAACAAAAACAACATATGCTTTTATGCAAAACAAAAACTACAGTAAACATAACAAAACAAATTTCTGAGTTCTGGGCTTTTTCGAGATAATGAAATGTATGTATGTATACATTAACTAAGAGTATAATATAATATATTCAAAATTACATAATGAACTGATACATATTCGTATACAAAAAAGAAAAAGAAAAACTAAAACTAATTGAGTATAATTTTTGTTTTCTTCTCCATTGCAAAATTGGTATTAAATCGTAATTTTTCCCGATATTATGGGAAAAAAGCATAAATCATTTATTTTCAACTTGTGTTTGTGTCATTATTTGCCACCTGCTAGAAGAGTAAAACTATACAAATTGTGGTAATTAAGTTATTTTTCAACATAACAGTACAAAATGTTAAGCTGAAAATTAATTGAAAATACATATGTACATATATAAATTGTATTAAGC